GGCGGCGTCGTGGTTGGAGTTGCTGTTACGGCGAAACAGGCGCTGAAACGCTACGTACCGATATGAGGACGCACTTTGTGTGAGCTCTTAATATTTTTTTTATTTTGTGTTACTATCAATTTTGAGCGATTGTTGGGGTATAAGCATTGTTATACCAGTATGTGGCAGTGATGCTGTTGCAAACAATTGGTTTTTATTATTACGCATATTTTTTCAGCTTGATTATGGCTAACCTTTCTAATGTAATTTGTCGAATCATCTTGCATGAATAATTGGGACGGCTTTAATGCTGGATATACAGTATTTAGTATATGAAATTTTGTTCCTCTGTCACTGACAATTTTAGTGTTACTCGTCTCTCTTAGTTTTTCTACAACTATTATATTAATCACTCATTCCTGTACCCATATATAGTTGATTAAATTCTAACATAGAAAACAGATATCTATACAGTTCCCGGAATCTATATAATTTTATAATAATATTTTTTTTTCTCATGCATACAAGTAAAAGCAAAACTTGATATCTTTTTGTTTCACCTGTGGGCTGTGGTGTTTTTCATGAATTCAGTAAATTATGGTTCCATCATGTCCTTATCCCTTTGCGAGACATGGCTTATTTTAAGTTTTTTACTATATTCAGCTTAGTTAATGTCTGAGTTGGCCACGCGACATCACATGTTATCCGATTAATCTGTATTGTGTGCATGCATGTCATCTGAGAGTTATTCATGTACTAAAAACATCCAATGGCAAGTACTTTCTAGTAGCTACTAATTATAATATAAAGAATGAAAGAGGCATGTATGTTGGTGTAGAAGTGTAGATCAGATTAAAATTAAAATTAAAGCTTAGATGCAAACAAGTGCTTGATATTTTACATTCAGAATATACCAACTCGCTATCCTATTGGATGATTTTGGAAAGTAAAAGCACTGAAACGAACACTGACATATGGACTACTCACTACAGTTATGCCTGAGATTATTACAGCTGGTTCACACAAAGCTTAAAGATGCAATGCTATACAGGTTAGACTTTAGGTGGCACACATATGCTATGAACAAAATATTGATTGGAAAAAGAATATTAGCCGGTTAAAAATACAGTGCCTTGTGCATAGCAGGAAAAATATGGGTCGCTCAAGGGGCAAAACAAGCTTTCCTCATCCACCACCCAAAGAGAGTCGGAAGAATACTCCCATGATGGAGAAGGAACTTGTGGACAAGAGAAGTTGCAACCCTCTTCTGACATGTCAATGTCTTTCCATATATCTTCCAAAGAGAATCCTTGACCTTGACCCTCATCTTGTTGTTGGGTTGAGCCTGTGATCATACCATTACCATGTCCTCCTGTGTCATAAAAGCTCTCTTCTCCTGCCTTCTTGGAAGCATGTGGATCCACTGCATGGTTGTTTGAGGATATCGAGGAATCAACACTTGAAGGAGTTGGTGATGCAGCTTCTCCTCTCTTCTTGTCATCCTGAGCCTTTTTCCTCATCAGGGTTCTCCAATAATTCTTGATCTCATTGTCAGTGCGCCCTGGCAACTTGCGTGCAATTCTTGACCACCTGCATGTCTCAAACTAACCATGATTAGATTTGAATGAAATCAAGGGTGATAAAGTGTAAGAAGGATAAAACTTATTTGCAATCCTCTGTGTTTATGGTGTTATTTCCTTATTAGAATTAGAATTTTACTAAACATGAGTTAATGACTTGTTTCAGATGGTTGGTGTTGTTCTCATATCATACTTAAATTTAACTAAACACAAGTTACAAACATGAAACTCGAATTCTGGTCGAAGAATAATATTAAAAATATAAGTAGAAGTATCTCTAAGTTTTATACAAAATAACAAAAGGCATGACAGGAAAGATGAGCTTAATTTTTGCATATTAGTTAGAAACGAAACCTATTTCCCCATTTGGAATGAAGGTCCAACACAAGGCGTTCTTCCTGGGGTGTCATCTTGCCACGTTTGAGACCAGGATGGAGGTAATTAACCCACCTTAACCTGCAACTTTTACCTGTTCTATTCAAACCTACAACAAAATGAGGTGGTTAAAGGCTTCTTCTTCCATAATCTATAATCATAGTTCATAGCTTTGATTGTCTATTGACTAATGCCTACTTTACTGTCTCCCGCCACCTTCAAACCTGATACCTTAGCTATGAAGTCCCATCTACGGTCTCCAAACAAACCAACAAAAGACACCAATTTGAAGTCTTCCTGTTCTGTCCAGGGACCTTTACGCACTTCCTGTTGAACCATTTTCCAAAGGAATATTTTCTCTTTCTCTCAAGGGAAACTTGATCACTGCTTGCGGGGACCTATGCAACCATCACCAACATTTATATACGCCTTGTCACACTCGCTGTTTATTTTATTATAAGCTATTTTGCATATCCACCGTTCATTTGGTCGTTTTCGGAGGATGACATCACCCGCTACGTGGAAATAATCAGAGTAATAGATCAATATGTTGATGTAACTTTCACATTTGTTTTTTCCCTGTACCATACACGCTGATTTATTAATGTTGAATTAATCTATCTGACAGATGTTGTTCTTACCCAGTTCCACTACCTCCCCCTAGCTGCTTTATATTGCCATGCCAAGTATTCTAATTAGTTAATCATATCTTGTACTATAAGAGATTAAGAGATGAAGTTATCTTAAAGTGCTTCAAGCTAACACAAAGACAAGATTAAGCGACACTTTGGTTTGTAGATTTTTATTTTCCATTGTATATTTATCGATAATCCTAATCATATTCATAAGAAGTGCTAGTATATACTTTCTTTAATACACTCATAAATATTAATTAAAATTTATCAAAAACAAGATAATTATATATATGACTCTGAAGTACACTGTCATATTTTATTTTTAATAAAGTTTAGTTAATAATAAAAATGTATTATCAGTTTTTCTACCATGTAATATCTTATAAATTGACCTTTCATTGGGGTGGTTGAACTGTTGGCAGATGAAACCTTCTCTGATAAAACAACTTTAGAGTTCAAATGTATAAAGTGGATGAAAACAGCATGGATCGGGAAAAAAAAAAAAAAAAAAAAAAAAAAAAAGAAGGAAAAATACCATGAATCTTTTAAAGGCATATGCATGTGTAAAATATGGTTGGAAAAAGAATGGTTAATAAGTTCGGAGTGATCCATTTCCAATTGTGTACTGTGCTGATAACAAAATTCAAAACTTGAATGAGTGAGGAAAATATGTTAATGAAGCAGGCATGTAGATGGATTGGATATTGCGGCCCTTGACTTCTGCAAAGGCCGGGACAGAAGAGAAAAGAGAAAGTAGAAGCAGACAAAATTTTGAAGAATATAAGCAGAAATAGTTAAGATGTTTTCCAGGCAACCTTTTCTCTCAAATATAATATTGAAAATGGAAAGGGATATTAGTGTGCAAACTATTGTTAGATAAATCCAGCATCCAAAGTTTGTTTGTGGTGTCCCCAGGAGAGAGTGAGGCACTATGTCGGGCCAGTTTAGGTTGTTAAATATGGGATATTCCAACTTGACGATCGATGGAACATCAAAGGTTAAAAAAATATATATAAATATTTGAACGCGAATGTGCATTAATCTAATTGTATCTTCAATAATACAATCACGGTCCAACAAAAATTATTGTGATTAATTTAATAACAATTGTTAAAGTAAATTTTGACATCATATTAAAATATGAATCCTAGTCTAACACAATCTACAAAATTAACAAGATAAAGATAAAGATTATTTCTATTTATATTTACTATATTATGCAACAAATTATAATTTCAATTCTCAAAGTCATTATAAATATATATTTCACTTTTATATAACTTATTTTTGATTCATTTTTTTCTATTTATTTACTGTTACACATTACATGTCAAGTCTATCATATAATTAAAATTTATAATGAATTATATATAAATAAGTATTATGTTTGAATATATAAATTATATTTAAAATTTATATAAATTAATATTTTGAACATAGAATCAGGCATTCGTAGCCAAAATGTGTGCCACGTGCTCTATTTATTTTTGTAAAATATATAATTTGTCGTGAACTTACTTTCGTGCATATTATTCCATAATACTGTAGTTTAACTGTAACTTTCTTATAGTTAAAATGTTTATACCATCAAACCATAAATTTTATAAGGGGTAAATAACATAAACAACACTCTGGAATTCATATCAATGGCACACATTTTTTCCCAAAAATTACGCACGACACCGCGCGCCCCTTGAGTACATACAGTAATTAATGAAACAATACAATCATCACTTTAACTAAAGTTAGCTGAGAAGAAAAACATTTTTTTTTTAATTAGACCAAAGCCCAAAGGTCTCACTGAAGTTAAAATGGAGTGATCAAAGAGTTAATTATGAAGAAAGCGGAAAGATGAGTTAGTGTGAGAGGAAGAGATATAAAAAGAGACATAAAAATGATAAAAGGACTAAGGAGTTACCATTTCCATGGCTTGAGGAAGTATGGTAGCTACCATCTCTTTCCTTGGATTGGGTTGACATCAAAGAGGAACGATGCTGGTGGGCCAATATTGAGGGCTTGAGGCTCCTGATTTTTTTTCTTTACTTTTAAAAAAAGTTTTATTTATTTATTTTAAAATTTTAAGATAATATTAGTTATGATCTTTTTAAGCATATTTTTATTTTTATTTTAATTTTTAATTTTTTCTTTGGTAAAAATGAGGGTTAAAGCTCAAATAACCTAAACATGACTCTTGCGGGATAAAGATAACCCAATTATATCTTGTCTATAAAAAAAATCCCAATTGGTGGTCTATCTAACAAATGTAACTCAAACTTAGTATTATGAGTAATATTTGTTAAATAGTCAGCAAATATATTCACTTCCCTAAAAATGAGTTACTATAACTTGTCAAGCTTTGTTTAGTTACATATGTATACTAACTATTATCAACAAGAAAGGATGGTACACCTCCACATAATTCTTAATCAAGTTCGCAGTTACTCTTGAATCACTCTCCACCTAGATCTTTCGATGTAAACAACTCAAGAGCAGGTAGAAATTCACACAACTCATTCATCATGACATTAGAGCTCTCTAAGTTCCTCAAAATGCTCGAAATCCATACTATTTCTGCATTCCGTAAGACCCATGCACATGCACAATAGATTCGTCATTGTTGACTATCAGCCAACCTTGGAGAGGAGTCTTATAAGCAATATCATGATCATAATATCTGGTGAAACCTCTTAAAGAGTCTCATTTCTTCACTTACTACACGCGTATAATTACATTTATTATAAATGAATGAGAAACAATAATACAAATTTTTTAGATAATTAATTTTTTTTAATATAAATGATAATATTAATCATATTTTTTTTAATTAAGTCAAGACTCATTGACACAAGTCTAAACACTTATAATAAATCTTATACTTTTAATTGTTTTTTTTATATAATATAAATTTAATCGACAGTTCAATCTTATAATTTTATACTTAAGATTATTAATATTAAATTTCATGTAATTTAAATTTTCTTAGATATGTTATCCACAAATGAATATTTACACATGTTTTAAGTGAGTTTTTTTACGCAAATAATACTATTTAAAAAAAATTTACCTAAACAGCAACTGTGCAAATTTATTTTCTCAACAAGTACCATTTACTGTTCACGTTCAGAACATGCCGTTCTGAAACCAGAACGGGCCGTTCCAAATTAAAAAATAACACATGATGAATGGATCAGAACGGGCCGTTCCGGATTCAAAATTAGCACATAAAAAGTGAAACCATAACAGGTCGTTTTGAATCCGGAACGGGTCATTCTAACATATAAATATTTTTTTTTTCACTTATCAAATACCAAAACTCAGAAACTAACATCAAATAATTAAATTTATTGAATATTAACATTATAAATATAACTAAATAAATTTATTAAAATTCAATACAACAATAAAGATTAATGGTGGCTGAAACTGAATTCATGACCAATATTTGGATATATCTTCCTAGTGTGACCAGGGGTGTGACCATGTGAGTAAGGGATATGAATTTTCTGGAACTTGCCGCAATCACACCACATTACATTTAGCCTTACTGTAAATCTCTCAGCGGGTCATGCGAGCAAGGAATATGAACTTTTTGGAACTTACCGCGATCATACCACATTTCATTTAGCCTTACTGTAAATCTCCCAGTGGGTCGTGCGAGTAAGGGATATGAACCTTCTGGAACTTGCCGCAATCATACCACATTTCATTTAGCCTTACTGTAAATCTCTCAGCAGGTCAAACTTCTCTCAGATGTTGCGTTTCTTTCAACTTTGTGGCCAAATCCAGAACTTAAGAGAACTTTCAAAGGTCGGCCAAAGTTTGGCAGGATTAGAACAGAGATGGACATTAGAGAACAACATAATCGTGTAAAAAATTGTTCCTATTGTTATACCCCTGATTACACTAGGAAAACATATCCAATATTGGTCATGAATTCAGCTTCCGCCACTATTGATTTTTATTATTGTAATGAATTTTAATAAATTTATTTAGTTATATTTATAATGTTAATATTCAATAAATTTAATCACTTGATGATATACTTTGAGTTTTGCTATTTGATAAGTGAAAAAAAATGGTCTGAATCTGTAGGCTAGAACGGCCCGTTCCGGATTCAGAATAGCCCGTTCTAGTTCCACTTTTTGTGTGCTAATTTTGATTGGCTTTGGTGAGGCCAAATTTTGGAGAACATATATAATTTTCTAAAATCATCCAAAATAGGTCGCATTCGGAGCCTGTATAAGTGGGAGGAGAAAACTAACTAACAAGGAAATCATTGAATTCTAATTGGGTATTGAATTCAGGCCTGCTTCTATGTGATTCGAAAGGTGCTAGAGATATGAAATTGAAGACAGCATATATATTATTCGTGAACCACAATTCACAACATGATAAGTAGAGATGCAGAGTGGAACATTGCATCACTTGACTACGTTTACACTAACACCACTCACTACATTCGTGGTGGTGAATGCCGTGGGCGTCACTTTTTAAAGATAAAGATAAGATTATATCATAAAAAAAATTAACAACACTTACGACATCATTGAAAATACAAGACGAGAATAAACAACAATCTAGCAATCTTTTAAATTCAAACCCGTGATTTTTATTTTAGCTCAATTCCATTGGAACAATTAGACAAGTTGGAGCATGGGATTGGAATAAAAAATTGAGGGAATGGAACGTTCAGAGGAGCCAAAAAAGATCTGTTAGTGACGTGGATGCCACCATTTTGTGGGCAGAGCACTTAATTTTATCCTGGGCATTG